GGCCCCCTTGGAAGAGACAGCTGCTGACTTTCTCCCCAAACCCAAACCCCAGAACCAAAGGCAGGAGCCTGCTCCGGTTCCCAGGACTCCCCTCCCAGGCAACCCAGTACTGAGGCTTGGGCCTCAATCCTTTGCCCAGGGCGGGCAGTGCTGGCTGTGCTGTGGTCCCCTCCCGGGCTGGGCCAGGCTGCTGCAGTGCTGGTGCTGTGCTCCCACCGTGCCAACACAGAGAAAAAAGGCAGGTGGTCTGAGCTAATATCTATTTTCTAGTTGATGTCCCCCCTTCCCTTTCTCTCCTCCCTCCTTTTCTTCCTTCCTCTCTCTTTCCTCCGCCCCCTCTGCTTCCCTCCCCCAACACTGCGCAAACAGGTCTGTGGCGACTGGAGGGGAGTAAGCCTTCTCCCACCCCAGACTGTCCATTCTGAGTGCCCCTCCCAGCAGCTGGCACCCCCAACCACGTTCCAGCGGGCGCCCTTCCCAGCCCAGACCCCCGCACACTTATCTGCCTCCCCATCTCCATCCTAGCCCCAAGCCTCTCCTTTCCGACTCCTAGTCGACGCCCCTGGATCTCTCTCCTAAAATGGCTCCCTGGACACTGCACACTGGCCCCGCGGTCTCTCAGGACCCCGGGCAGCGGCGGGGCCACGGCTCAGGTCTTGCTGTGTCTGGGGGTGCAAAAATTCTCGCACCCTCTCTTTGCTCGCGGCACGGAGTGGGACGCAGGCAGTCAGCCGCCCCCAAAGTGAAGCCTGCCGACCGCGGAAAAGGGAAATGGAGAGGACGAACCATTCAAGTTCAACGACATGGCGACGGCTGCTACGGCGGGAGCCGCGCTTTGAGGGGAGGGTGCGTCCTCTGCAGCAGCGCGCCGGTGCTCAGGGAAAGGGGCGATGGGCCCCTCTCTGAGCCTTAGCGCGGATACCGGCCGCCGCCCTCCTCCCCAGCCCAGGGCACCCGTTCCGGGCCCAGACCGCATCGCTCTCTAGCCCCAGCTCCGTGCTTGGTCCTCACCCCGAAAAACCAGTGGAAACCACCGCCTCCGGACCCGCGCATTCCGCAGGAGAACCTACCGTCAAGACCGGGCGCTGTGGCCTTGTCCTTGCCTGTGCGGCCCCACCCGAAACGCAGGGAGCAGACCAGGCCTTCGGGGCGCAACGAGCAGCTCCTCCAGCGATAGCTTTCTGGGCAGCGCCGAGATGCGATGCGGTGATTTTGAGCCACCCAAGATAAGACACTAACTTGACCTTAACTTTGTCAGGGCGCCCCTGGTATCTGGAGAACGTGAACAGACACTGTCTGGCAGCTCTCGTAAAAGCTGACTGGGGAAGGGATTCTGAGTCATTTCATTTATTGCCACTACAGTTCTGCAAGAAAGCTTTTCCTCCCTGCCAAACTTTAATTATTTATGCTCTTTTAGGAAACGAAAGAAGAGAAAAGCGAGGGGGAAAACACCCAGAGTAAGTCCTTTCCCTGCAGAGCCTTCGGAAAGGACTCCTTAAGCCGAGCGACCAGAGAACAAAAATGTGGGGAGATCACCTTTGTCCAAGGACAGTGGGACAGGCGCCGAGCCCCCCCCCAACCACTGAGGAGGGTGGATGCAGCTGGGAGAGGCGTGATGGGGCATCTCCCTCCCCCCCGTGGCAGACATGAATATTTACAACGATTCTGGATTTCTCCTCCACCCCTCAGCATCCGGGAAGCCTCCCCAGCCAACCTCTCTTGGGGAGAACCCCCAGGCCTTAAAAGCTTCCCCCTTCGACCCCTCTAAATTAGCAACCGATTGAATAGCAGACTTAACTGTACTTTTTCGGTTTAAAAACCTTGTTCTTAGTCAAGAGGACTGAGTGGACTGCATCATTTCAAAGACACATTTATCTTTCTGAGAGGGAAGGTTGAGCTCTCAGAATTCAGTATCCTTTCCCTCTGACATTTGTTTCTTATCAATTTCCTCACGGTTCCAGATCTCTGCTGGTACTTCGGCTAGGGCATGAAACACCACCACGTCTGCATCTTTGTATTTGTGTGGATTCGAAAAGGGGGCACATTGGAAAAACACTGCTGAACTGACAGATAAGATGTTATTCTTAGGATAATTTAATAATTCTTTTCGGGGAGTGGTCTTCATAAATACCTTCCCTTCCTAGACTAAAGGAATAGAGCATGAGATTTAATGGTATATATATTTTTAAAACAACAACCTACATTTGTTGTCTTAGGGTCTGGGTCTGAGAAAGTCTGTTTCTTCTTCCTTTTCTCAGCCCTCTGGACTCAAGGTCTCAGTGTGGCTTCCGCCTTTGTTCAGGAGACAAACCTCTGAATACAGACTCAAGGCTGGGAGCCTGGACTCTGGGTATCACTGCCTCCTTGTGCCCAAGCAGGTGGGGAAACATTTCTAGCTATAAGGCCTGGGTAGCCTGTTTCTTTCCTTCCCGTTGTGTTTGTGTGTGTGTGTGCACGTATGCCTGCTTGTGTGTGTGAGTGCGTTGAGTGTGTGTAATTATTATTTTTAAAAGATTAAATACTTTAAATATATAAATCAAATTTAATTCAGGGATAGAGTTAGAATACTCAGTTTTAGAGGTTTATCGGTTTTGCTGTTTTTCCTTACAGCTAGAGACTACTTTCCACCTCCACCAGTTAGGGGCTGGAAGGGTTGGCATAGGCAAGAGTACCAAGCAAGCCTCTGAATTCACTGGATTGAGCTAAAGGCTCCAAAGGCAGAGAAGGTCTGGAGGCCACATTCCCCAAAGGGGCCTGATGTGCTTCTGGCCTCCTGGTGGAGGAGGTGCCCAGGGATCTTCACAGAGTGTAGGCTGCTCCAGAGAAGCCTGACCAAAATTTGGCTTTGTTTTGAAATCTGAGGAACCAAAAATCTTGGCACCTCTTCATAACAGTATGCACTAAAGTTTGAGAATTTAGGTAAAATGCAGGTGCCCCAACCTGCAACAAGCTGAGTGGCCTGCTTAGTGTGTGAGGTGCACTCAAATCTGCCACAGTCTCCCTCTACTACATTTAGATATTTTGTAGAAATTTTGTTCATAGGCTTTTATACACCATTTCCTGACTGCCTCGGAAGCCATTTTCTCAATGAACAGTCAACACCCGAGGCAAAACTGCAACCAGGAAGAAAAAAATTTGATGGCCTGAAACATATTAGAAGGGAATCATTTGTGGTGTTTTCAAAAATCAACATTAGCTTCTTGACAGCGTGGCTGAGACCTGGATGTTTATTTCCACTTAAAACATTTCTATGCACTTAATATATATGAGGAATTATTCTTGACAAAGTCAAAATATTCACGACAACTATAGCACAGGAAATAAAATTAGTCTAAACTGAGGCTGAAGGCTCTCTGTGACCCCCCCCCCCCGCTCCATGGCCTGGCGCCCCACAAAAGAAAT